GAGTCCCCGGCTCCTCTGGGCGAGGCAGCCTTGCTTTCCAGGCCTGCGCGATGCTGCTTTTCCTTTGCAGTTGCCCAGGTTATTTATTCATTTCATTTTTCACTTACAGCGGGCACGGCATAGTATGTTATTTTCAGGCGTACACCACAGCGATCAGACATTTACGTGATTTGCGAAGCGATCCCCCTGGTATTTCCAGGGCCCACCTGGCACCATCCGTAGTTGTTTCATATTATTGACTGTATGCCCTGTGCTGTACTTGACATCCGCGTGCCTTTGCCATAACTTCCAATCTCTACGCCCTCCACCCCTGTCCCCTTTTCACCCAGCCTCCCACCCTCCCATCCCGCAGCCATCCGTCTGTTCTCTGTATCTGTGAGTCTGTTTCTGTTTGTGTATTTTGTTCGTTAGAACTCACATATAAGTGAAACAGTACGGTGTTTGTCTTCCCCCGTCTGACTCACTTCACTTAGCATAAACCCTTTTTAGGTCCACCCTTGCTGCGGCAAGTGGCAGGATTTCGTTCTTTTTCATGGCTCGGTAATATTCCATTGTGTAAATACACCACAGCTTGTTTATCCACTTGTCTGTTGACGGGCACTTGGGTTGCTTCTCTATTTGGGTTATTGTAAATAACGCTGCAGTGAACACAGGGGTGCTCAATGTTTTCGATTTAAGAGACCTGTTCTGGGAGCTGCTTCCCTTTCCCCCATGTCCTGATGAGTGGTGGGCTGTGGGGATAGCCTGGGGCCTCCCTCCCGGCTTCCGGTTGGTCCCATGCAGTGTTCCTCCTCCTTGGTGACTCAGTTCTTCCCTGTGCCACTTGGCTTAGAGGGACTCTGAGGAAGCCTTGAGGAGGGAAACATGACCACTCTTTATGCTGTTCTTGGTTTCTTTGGTGTCCACTTCCTGCTAGTCCCAAGAGAAACAGAGGCTTGAGCCTCAGCTCCTTTTCTCCAGTAGCCCACAGCCTGGTGGTGGGAAATGTGGAAGCAGAAAGGTTGCAGACTGCAGGTGCTTGGGCCAGTCCTGTGAGGTGGGCTAGAAGGAGCTCTTGGCTTCTGTGTGCCATGGGGGTAGGTTAGGGNGCTTCTGTGTGCCGTGGGGGTAGGTTAGGGAGTGTTTACTGTGGGATATTTTGAGCCATGTTTTGAAGGGAGAGGTGATGCTTGGCGGACAAAGCGGGAAGGACAGCATTTCCGGCACAGTTTGAGAGGGTATGCTTTTCCCACTTGATTATGTGGCTTCTTAAAATGTTAATAGTTTCGTTTGTTTTTTGTCAGCTGTGTCTCATAAATATATATGAACCAGGTTCCAGTTGTCCCACCCAAGCTGCTTTTAAGGAGGTTACCTGTGATCTCCACGTTACCAAATGCAGTTCTCAGTTTTTAGTCTTTTTGTACTCTCCTTGGTTCTTAAAATAGCTAAGGGGTTGGCAAGCTTTCATGGTTTAAGGCTTGGTAGTACATATTTTAGGCTTTGCAGGCCACTCCTCTCTGCCTCCTGGAGCTACAGCAGCCACAGACGTCAGGTAAATGGATGGTGGGGTTGTATTCCAATAAAACTATTTATAAAAACTGGTGGCTGTCAGTCCCGGCTGGGTCATCCCTGGGCCTCCAGTGGGGGGTTAGTCGTGCTTGTGTTTGAGGTTCGTGCAACGTTAATTTCCCCGTGCTTGTGCTGATTGACCTAGGCCCCTCGAGTGTCCTCATGCTGAAAGATGCTCTGAAACCTATTGTGCACAGAATAGTTTACCTTGGTTGTTCATTGTTTTGAATTGACGTCAGAATTTTTTTTCTTTCGTGTCCCTCCTTTTACCCACATAGATTGTCTAGTTCCCTGAGGGCCAGGGCTGTCTTCATCTCTTTTTCTTTGGAGTTTATGACATTAAACTAGATTTCCACATCACCAGGTAGTACTCCTTACAGGTATATTCTCTTACCCCAAATGAAGAGAAGGTAATCCTTAGATCCCTGTGTCACTTTGTGAGGGCTTTCACGACAAAATACCAAAGATAGGGGGACCCAAACAANTTTTTTTCTTTCGTGTCCCTCCTTTTACCCACATAGATTGTCTAGTTCCCCGAAGGCCAGGGCTGTCTTCATCTCTTTTTCTTTGGAGTTTATATAACATTAAACTAGATTTCCACATCACCAGGTAGTATTCCTTACAGGTATATTCTCTTACCCCAAATGAAGAGAAGGTAACCCTTAGATCCCTATGTCACTTTGTGAGGGCTTTCACGACAAAATACCAACGATAGGTATTCAGGTTTCTTTTCTCACAGTTCCGGTGGCTAGAAGTTCAAGATTAAGGTGTCAACAGGGTTGCTTTCTCCTGAGGCCACCTTGCTTGGCATGCAGATTGCCCCCCTCTTGCCGCTTCTTTACATGGTCGTCCCTCTGCCCCCTTATTCCTGGTGTTACTGGGGGTTAGCAGTTCAACATATGAATTTTGGGGACATAGCAGCCCCCAGTCATGAGGGGCATGAGCACTGGCTGAGCAAGAACGTGGTTTTGTCTTTGCAGAGCTTGGTGACGTTTGGGGACGTCGCCGTCGATTTCTCCCAGGAGGAGTGGGGACGGCTCACCTGTGCTCAGAGAGACCTGTACAGAGATGTGATGTTGGAGAACTACAGGAACCTGGCAGTGCTGGGTAAGGGTGTCCCTGCTGTCTCTTGCGTTTTCCCCCCTCATCCGCTGCCGTGGCTCAGAATTGTCCCCCTTTGGCACCGTTTCCCCACCAGTCCTCCCCCCTCTCTGGCCCACAGCATGCCCACCTTCCATTTCTTTTTATGTATGTAGGACTCTGCTCCTCTAAGCCCTATGTGATCTCCTCATTGGAACAAAGGAAAGAGCCCTGGATGGCCAAGAGAAAGCTGACAGAAGGCCGGTGCCCAGGTGAGCGTGGGAGACCCAGGTAGGGGGAGCCACTGCAGGTCACATCTCAGCAACCTCAGACATGCAGGATCATCAGCAGGCTCTTCCTGAGTCTGGGCTTGGGGAGCAGATTAAGTCCTCCTGATAATGGGCTCCCCAAGTGTTCATCTCCCTGTCTCTCCTCTCCAGCTTTGCCCTGCTTCGTCTAAACATAACTTCATTCCTCTGCTCTGGGTCCATGTATTCCCAGCTCCCCCTCAGACCCTTTGACATTCAGACTCACGTGGTCATTTCCGATCTTTAAAACATCTTTGCCTGATTCTGGTGTCATTTTTACTATCTTATTTCTGCTTGATTAAATGACTGATTTAGGGACTTTTTAAAACCAATTTTTAATGAGTGTCAGCTTTGAGTATGGCCACTGGGTGCTGGTTGGTAAGATAGGGGTCTGCCATTAAAGCGTTAACCATCTCCTAGGGGTGACAACACATACCTGTATGTAAGTTAAATGAAGTAGAAACTGCCATCCTATGCCTGATCTGATAAGTGCAAATAGGGACTTAAGAGGAAGAAGAAATTCACTCCCAGTTTCAGGCCAGGGAAATGAGATTAGAGCCTGTAGCAGAAACATTAGAATTAGGTTAGGAGGTGAGTTTGGATTCAGCAGTAATTAATTTGGGGTTCACATGGGCTGCCCTGCACGGATAGGCGGCAGGCAGTTGGATGGTTACTCCCAGAACAAGAGAGCACTGGCTGATTTGATGGGACACTCTCACAGATCCCGGAGTGCTCTTTATGCCGCTAGGGAACACAAGTTTCAACCACAGCATCTCTGGTACAATAAATTAATCAAGTGAGACAAGGAATCAGAATTACAGATCACTGTTGGAGGTTACTGTAATAGGAAATGGCGAGAATTCCCAAGGACTTGAGGATTTTGTAAGACCTCTTTGTGAGGTCATACTTCAGAAGAACAGGTGGTGCTGACAGGACAGGGTGCACAGTTACAAATAACAGTGGCTCAAGTGAGTCGTCATGTGGCATAGGAGAGCTAGAATGGTGTTTTCCTGAAAGTTTTCCATTTAACGTTCATGTTTAATCCCATTTTATTAGTAATAGAAAAGGAGGCCTATTGAGCTAGAGAAGACGTTTTTGCTGGATAAAATGGAGAAAGAGTCAAAGGTTTACTGGATAAGCTCAAATGAGGATTATAGGGCATTTTCTTCTGTGGCCTCCCTCCCTCTTGGTCTGTATTCCCACTGTGTCTGAGATGCCCGAGTTCGTGAGCTTGCGCATCTGAGCTCCGTGTCTGTCTGCAGTCTCCTGCTGACAGCATAGTGTGCGCTGCTTGGTCAGCATTTAGGTGAGAAAGCTCATATGACGTGTGGGGTTAAAGCTACACACGTTGGGCAATGTGAGGTTGGTTAGTCAGGAAAAATCTTCCAAAACGATGCTTTCCTGAAGACTAATTCACGTGGTTACGTTGTTTTCTTCATACTGATCCACAATGAAGCGACACTTCCTGTCTTGATGCCCTTCAGACCCGGAGGCTGTGCCAGAGGCCCAGGAGGCCCCTGCAGAGGACGATGTGTTTGAGGAGCAGTTGTCCGAGGCAGCGCTGCTGGGCCGACTGGCCGGCTACCGTCTTCATTGTTCCATGTTGGGGGAGAACTGGGATTATGAGGCTCTGCTTGAGAGGCAGCCGGTAAGTCAGGCCACGCATGGAGGGCAGAGGACATGTCTGTGGGTAACGGGCACGAGGTGGAGTTTACAGAGGCAGAGGAGGGAGTAAACTTCCCAGGCATAACTTCCTTGTTTCAGTAGTTTCAGTGGGCAGGAGTCCAACTGCAAGAAGACAGCATTCTATGGTAAGAAACTCGTTCTTGGGGAAAGAGATCGTGTCTACCATGAGTGTGGGAGAAGCTCCCCTTGGAATGTAGTGCCTTCTGCAGGCAGGCTAGCCCAGAAGGAGCGTGCAGGCGTGATGCACAGAAAAGCAGGGTAAATTCAGTTGTAACAAGTCACAGACAAGTCTTAAGGCAGAAACATTCGACGTGGAAGGGATATGAGGAAACCTCGCGCAGGCTCCTCAACCCTTACTTTTCATCAAAGATTTCACAGGAAAACCCTGCAGACTTATCAAATAATGTGTATTGAATGTGGGGAAGCCTTCAGTCAGCATTAGAAAATTCATATTGTGCGTAAGTTCACTCTCCTCTTCAAAATTACAAATTCTCCATGA